ACCTCGGCTCGCGTTGTTTTCTGAGCCTAGAGCCAGGGCGCTTTCATTGCACGGCGTAGCTTCTTGTCTCGGGAAAAACCGGACGTCGTTGCTGCCCCCTGAGGGGAGGGCGATTCTGGGCTGCGCGATTGGGGGACTTCGTGGCTTTGGGTGGGTGGGAGTGAGGACGGACGGAGTCTGTGAAGCGGGGCTTGCCTGCCCTTGCTGGCTGCCTCTGCTTCCTTAGGGGCGGGGAAGGGGGCTCATCTGGACCAAGGGTGAGTCTCCCCCTCAGTTTCCCCTGAAGGATCTTTCGTCGCTTTTGCCTTCTCCCTACATCTCCGCTCAGGTGTCCGGCTGAGCCCCAGCCCGTCGGGAGTTGATGCCGCCAGTGCGGCTCCGGTCCCGCGTTGCCTTGGGAAGGGTGGGGCAAAACCAGGAGCCGCTGAGCCTGAGCCTCTGGTGCCGCTGCTGCTGTTGCAAAGCGCTGCCGCGGCTCTTCCTTTTTGCCTTTCCCTTCCTGAGGCGACGCGGGACTGGGGCCGCACCGGCGGTAGCGACTCCTGACTCAGGGGGCCTCCGAGGGAGGGGAAGAGAGTGACTCCTGCCTCCCGCTGTCATCATCATCTTCTTCTTTTGGGTTAGTGAATCAATTAAACCTTTCATGATAGTGAGATCGTTTCCCAAAATAATTATTTTTATTTTTGAAATTTACTAGTAGCTGCTGCATTTCCCACCCTCGGCTTATACTCGAGTCAATAAGTTTTCCCAGTTTTTTTTTGTAAAATTAGGTGCCTCGGCTTATATTCGGGTCGACTTATACTCGAGTATGTACGGTATATATAATCAGTCCAATCTCCAAAGCCAGCCTATCGTCCCCAAAAAGTCAGATGAAATTGTTTCCCAATTAAGTGTAATAATCCATTCCCCAATGTCCTTCAGTCCACTTAAGAAAGAACAATTTATCACTTATCCACTCAGTTTTGTGCTGTTGCATAAGAATGCAGTCTTGAACTTTAGGGAGCCATATGGAGTTGACTCAATTAGTTCTAAATTGTAGGGTCCATATTTCTTCCCAGTGAATCTACTACTTTCAAATCACATTCCTTTGGTGGATTTAATATATCTACATTTACTTGCCTCTGAATGTTTTCCACAACTGTTATCAATTCATGAAAGTTTAAAAAAAGCTTTCAGCTGGGAATTACATGTTACCAAACTGTCTTTTTTCTAGTGTCAGTGTCATTCCCTTGTTTTTAATTTAATATATTGTTGCTCTATATAGTAAATAAGACAGTTCTTCAAAGCAGAATAAGGAAATAGACAGAGCAGCAGAAAAGATATTTTCTGGATACGTCTATCTGAAATTAAAAGAAAAATCGAAAGAGATAAGCTCCAAATGTTAGGCAAATTGGTGAAATACAAAATCCCTGCAGTGAATGTCCAATAAAAATGTAAATCAAGTAAAAGCACTTTCACTATCCAGGAACACCATGTGATTTTCCTACAAAAAAAATCAGGAATTAATGAAAACAGCTGAATAGATCAAGAGAAAAAAAGCAAAAAGAACAGATAAAATCTAGCATGGGTTGAAATAAATCAGCATTCAACCAGCCAGCTAACTTTTAAAGATAAAAACCAAAGCAAAACAAAAGTGAAGTTAAAACCCAGGCTTGATTACAAGAACAGTTTGCCCAGAGGAAAAGACTGGATGAAAGACTAGTAACCTTCTGGCTACTCCTATAGGGATCTGCAGTCTTCAAGATTCCCCTTCCTGGTAGAGCTGCAGTTGTCTAAAAGTCACCTTGGGTCATTCCTAAGTGCTACCATTCAGATCCAGAGAGCTTTGGCAGCAAAAATCAGCAGATTGCTGGCAGGAGAAAAAATACTTCCAACTGGTCAGCAGCCATTTTGGAGAGGAGCCTTATTATTGGGTTTGTTGTTCAGTTTAAACTTGAAGTGTTTAAAAAAATTCTCAATAAAATATTCTAGATTTTTTTTTTGAAAACTTTAGCAATAAAATACAAAGTTGAGAAAATAAAAACTATAAATATTTTCTTATAAAGTTTTGGGTTTTTTCTGGTTTTTTTTTCCTGATAAGACTACTTTTCTTGATAATGCTTGCCTCATCCTTTTATTTTCTCCTTTAGAAGAAGTTGAATATGACTTCAAATTATATATACATACATACATACATACATACATTCAATTTCACTGTGTTTAGTTTACTTTACTTTATTGTCATTGCACCTCAAACAATGAAATGAAACACCATCTTCAGTGCACATCATGACCATGAAAATAAACACAAACACAGACCCTTCACCCTCCACACATTGAACAGAAAACCCCTGACACCACACCAACATTGCACCATACAGCAGAATTCAAAAGAGCTACTGCCCTGGGATAGAAGCTGTTTTTCAGCCTATTTGTCCTTGTTTTTACTACTCTGTACCGTCTGCCAGATGGTAATAGTTCAAAAAAGGGTTTCCAGGATGAGATGGATCTTTGAGAATGTTTTGAACTTTCTTAAGGCAGCAGGAGCTATAAAGCTCTTCCAAAGAGGGGAGAGGGCAACCAGTGATGTTCTGGGCAATGACATTAACCCTCTGGAGTGCTTTCCTATCTGCCACCGTGCAATTGGCAAACCATACAGAGGTGCAGTAAGTTAAAATGCTCTCTATGGTGCAGTGGTTCACTGTTTTGTAACTAATTTTAAATCCCTCTTTAGTGAAATCTTATTGAGATCTGTGTAATTTTGTAAGAATTCAATGTATCTGTCACAATATTTAAATATCATAATGAACAGCCTCTTTGAAATTAGAAGATAATAAGAAAATCAATCAAAAATAATAAGTTGTTTCATTGGTTTCCTCTGATCTTACCAGATTTTTACTCCAAGGTTCCAAAAAGGAATACATTTACAGATTATGGTAGTGTCCATAAAAGTTTTTGTGGCCTGCTGCTACTATCTTCCATAGTAAGCTGAAATTTGTGATTATCAAGATTTTGCTTTTTTTTCCTGTTACCTGTTTTTAGTATATTTTCTTAAATAAATGTTACATTTTGTAAGGCTTTCCTTCAGGCAGCCATAATCTCCACTTTCAAATTGTGCCTTCTCAATTTTTGAGTTGAAGGTGCAAGCAGAATTTCATTTTGGCACTCGGTGATCAAACTGATCAACTGATCGAGATACTTCAATTCCCACTATGAAAACAGCCCTACATTTTATTTCAGAAGAACCATCAAAAGAGCAACTTTCTTTAGTCAGGTGTTACAAGAAATGGGAATTTTTCCGTACTCGTACTGAATTATCCAAAGCTCAGTGTCAGTACATAGATTTTACTGTTGTCTCCTCAGATCCAGAATAATGTTAAAAGCTGTAATGTGTCTTCATGCTATTTTGAGGATGAGCAGAAATGTGGATCTCAGTTGCTCACGCTATAATTTCAAGAGTTATGTCTAATATGTGTGTTAACACCATTAGAATGATTGAAGGCATAATTCACTCATCAAACCCTCATTCCTAATTGTTTAAAATAAGGTATTAGGTCATATACCTGCAAAATGCTTTCCAAGCACCCAGGCCTCTATAGAAATGTAGCAAATAAGTCAATTTCTTAAAAATAAAGTTTGCTTAATCTTGGTTTTTGTTAGTTTGCAGCAGAAATTCAAGTCCGGAAAAAACACAGATGACTGATTCAGGCGGATCATTAACTTCTTTATAAACATAATAAGATGAAGTAAAGTTCATAATACCAGTAGTAGATTCTTCAGATTACTAGTTTCACTTTCAGAATTGAGAGCACAGAGCTAAGCAACACCCAAATACTCAGCCCTCAATTCAGCTCTCATTGGTTGACTTTGTTAACTATGTCTCTTCCGTTCATGAATACTCTGACAGTTTTCCTTTCAGTATTGTGCTTAAAAATATCTATATCTAGGCAAAGAACATCGCCATGGTGATGCTGTTGTAAAAGAAAGGCCACCTGAAGAGGTTGCAGCTCGTCTAGCACAACAAGAAAAAGAAGAAAAAGAGAAAATTAAGGGTATGTGGGTAGATATTGTGATTACTTTTATACAATTTCAAAAACATGATTTTAATTTCAGCAGCTCTAAAATAAACCTTAATGGAACTGTTGATTTTACCACTTGAAAAGATAATTTATGTAGTTCATATTCATTTTACAACACTTAAAGATATTATGATTAAAAATAGATTCATGAATTATTTTAATATACATTTTATTTAGTTTAATATGTATTGCTGCTTATGAGCTGGCAAAGTTGTGTGCCAAAATATCGTTTGGAACCATGGACCAGTATATAGAAGTATTCCATAAATACAAATCCATGATGAGTGAATCTGGAACTTTTAAGTCAGAATGGACAGACAGCCAACTTTAAATATTTAAATCTGATTTCTGGTCTTGACTTTCTGCAAATATTTATCCATACTGCCAGTTTTGCATTTCATGAAAAATTATAGTCAAATGCCAGATCTTTGATTTTCTTTTTAATTTTAAGAAAATACGAAAAAAAGATATTAAAAACTAAACTGGAAGATTAAATTAACCAAGTAACATTAATAATCAATAAAATGAATCTCAGTTTTTCACCTTTCCCTTTCTAGCCCTTGCAGCATCCTTGGAAAGCGCTTTGAATAGCACTGCTCGAATCACTTTGCAAGCAGTTACTCTTCAGGAAACTGCTGTCCAGGCTGTCAATCTCCATGCTCAGAAACTGAAAGAAGCTATGGATAACTCTGAGGTCCACATGTTTTATTTTTATTATATGTTACATTTTTGTACATTTTGTTTGATGTTTTTAATTGCTAAGGAAAGGTTGTTAAATGTCTTTAGAGGGTAAAACCAATACAGAAGTTATTCAACAGTACAGTAGTCCTCTCACTTACAAACAATAATTGGGATCAGAAACTCCGCTGCTAACAAACCAGTTTTAAGACAAAATATCACTTGACTTCCTGCTGGTTTTGCCATTGACTTTGTTGGAAGTTGGCAGTGAAAAATTACAATGACCACACAATTATTGGACATTGCGAGCCTTATAATTACGAGCCAATTGCCAGGCAGCCAAATTGTGATCAGAGACATGGGAATGCTGTGACCTGTTTTAAGTATCCCTTGTTCAGCACTATTGTAACTTTGAATGGTGGCTGAATGCATGGACATTAAATGAAGATTACTTATATGAAACTTGAGATGATATTATAGCTTTTTGCTGGAACAGATGACATTACTAGGGGAACATTGTAAAAAAAAGTAAAAGGCAGTTGGATAAAATCTGTTCAGTGGCAGTGCAATAACTGCTCACAGCAATGCAAATGTGTATCTAAATAAGTTGTATAACTTTGTTACATAAGAACCAGGGGATCTTTTGTGTAAAACATCACAAACTTCTGATTGAAAAAATTAACTTGAACTACACCTGTAAGAATCGGATCGACATGCTTTAGGATTCTCAAGAAAGTTCCATTCTTGTAATAGTTGATTTTGTATATATTTAATTGAAAGTGTAATGTTCCTGTTCAGAAACATTTTTCTATTAGAGGGATGAAAAGTTAATAAAGATAGTTTTCTACTTAACAATAATTTGTTTAGTGACTATTCAAAGTGAAATTGGCACTGAAAAAAGTAAATTGTGATTGGTCATTGCATATGATAGTTACAGCATCCCTATAGTCACATGATCCAAAGTTGTGTTTTTGGGAACCAGAATGTATTTATGACTGTTGCAGCATCACAGGGTCATGTAATCATCATTTGCAACTTGCCTAACTGGTTTCCAACAAACTTAGTCAATGGAAAAGTTGGTTTTACTCAACAACTTGAATGATTCTCCTAACAACTATTGCAAAAAAATTAAAAATAGGAACAACTCACTTAACAACCACCTTGCTTAGCAATTTTGGTCCCAACTGTGCCTGGAAAAAGCAATATGATTACTTTTGATTAGATGCTTAGTATCAAAGTGCTCTAATGCATCTTTTTCAGTAGAATACTCTGAAGATATATTTTGAACAAGACAGTGCAATTCTGTTGATTAGGAACTGTCTGATTTGAAAAAAGCTACTTTTTGATTATGTAAACATATATTGCATTGTTGAATGAAAGACACTTTTTCAAAGTTAGCACATTTATACTCCTACTATAAAAGGTATGAGAGAGAACATCTACAAAAGGTTTGGATATGTGTCACCAATATGTTAAAATAGGGTAGAGTAGAGTAGTGTAGAGTAAGAGAGGAGAACAGAACAGAATAGAATAGTTTATTGGCCAAACATGATTGAACACACAAGGAATTTGTCCAATAATGAATAATGAAAATGATAATAATAATGAATAATGAAAACGATTAGGTATCTTGAATATCTTGCTAGGTTCCAAGTGAGAAAAAGGCAGCTCAGTGGCGAACTCTGGAGGAAGCATTGAAGGATCGTAGAAAAGCTGTGGATGAAGCTGCTGATATTCTATTAAAGGCCAAGTGAGTTTTCTAGTTTTTATATTAAAAAAGACTTTAAAAATATTTCTACTATAAAAATAACAATTGTAGAGTTTTTGTGTTAATTTTAGTTTCAGTAATTAGTGATTGAGTTTATACAATGAACTAAGCTATAGTTTATTTCAATTGGAGTTAGTGTGTTAATTTCCCAGCTGTTCTGGTTTCTGAACTATTTATAGCTTAAAGAATAACTACAGGCAGTTTTGGCTTCCACAAAAAATATGGTTAAGCAAACTCTGGGCCGATGTTACAGGTAAACTCTAATCAGTGACTGGAATAAATAGTGTAAATTTTTCCATTTAAATTATATAATTTAATTATATATGGGTTACCGCTACAGTACCTCTTAATGACAGTTATTGGCACTGGAATTTCTATCACTAAATAATGCACTTATAAAGCAAGAAGTCACTTGATTGCATTCCTTAGTGACAGCAATGTTAGTAGTCTGTTACCATCAATAAGTGAGGATTGCAGGTTGCTAGGCGAGGACCTCCTTGCAACTTCCTGCTGATTTCCAAAAAGTACAGCCCATGGGGAAACTATTACGAAGTCGCCAATCTGAGGCAATGCAAATAGGTTGATGGGTAGGTAAATGGCTGCTGTTGGATCAGGTGTGACAGTGACTGGCAAGGTGCTGCAAGTGCACAGCCAAGCTGGAAATAACTGCTGCTGGGTTGGGAAGGGTGGACAGTGGCTGATGAAGTATAACACAATCATTGGCTAGGCTGCGTGTGACTGCTGCTGGGTTGGGGAATTCTACTGAAATGACTTACCACCTTTCCTATTGGCTTTCCCCTTGATTTTACTCATAGGAAGTCAACAGGAAGGTCACAAATGGTGGTCACATGACTGTGGGATGCTGCAGCTGTCAAAAGTGCATACTGTGCAAGCACCCATGTCATAATCATGAGACCACAGGTAAACAGTTGTATATAGACCAGTACAACTTATGCATTCAGAACCACCGTAACATCAAATGGTCACTGAAAGAGTGGTCTGAGAACTACCTGTCAATAATGCTCAATGACATCATTAAAAAGGAATTAGTTATTTGGTTTTTTAAAAAAAGGTCATACCACCTTATTTGGCAAGATCTTCATTTCTATTTTTGTTTAGCCTAAAACATTCACATATTAATTGAAGCAAATTTAGATGGCTTCTCATCACACCTTCGTATGACTCTGAGCAGTATACTGCAAAATCAGTTAAAAACAAATATAAACAACCATAAAAACTAATTAGAAATAAAAACCAAGATTTCAGGAAAATTGGCAATATTATAAAGATAATACAACCATCTCAAAGGCTCTGTCTTTTTTGGGATCCTTAAGGCTGCTGGAAAAACATTTTTAAGGACTTTCCAGAGGCTGGTAGGGATGATATGTAAACATTACATATGTAAATACATGTAATGTTCATTTTGTTAAATATTTTTACACTTTAGCACCTATGATATTGTGTAAACTTATGTCTGCTGCCTAAAGAAGTTAATAACTCCTGCTTTATAGATACAGCAGTGACAAATTTGATTTTCATCTTTTTGGAGTTTTTTTCTTGAACAAACAATGAATGCTGGTATATTTGATGATTTTGGTTTTATTTAGAGAAGAAATAGAAAAAATGAAAGGTGTGATTGATAATGCCAAGAAGTCTCGTATACCTGGAGTCAAACCTCACATACAGGGCATAGAAGAGAACCTTCATCGTATGATAACTGACTTGGACAATGTGGTCAAAAAGGTAAACTCGTAAAAAATTGGCTTTTATAGATTTTCATTGATGCTATGGATATTTTAGTGAACTTTAATACTAAAAATCAGTTTATTGTTTAATATCTCCAAAATAAATTAATATATTTTCCCATAATAAAGCTATAGTATATTTAATAAATAAATATTTTGCTGAGAAATACCGTGTTTCTCACGTAATAAGGCCGGGCCTTATTTTTTTTTAAGCCCCGAAAAAATGGCTAGGCCGTCTTTTCGGGGGTAACTTAATTTCCCCCCTTTCATCCTCATCTAGAGCGCCCCGCGGGCAGCCTCGCCACCAGCCGCTCCTAACGGGCGATCATGGCGAAGCGCAGAGAGCTCCCTACTCCCACTAAACACCTTTGCTGCAGACCCAAGACCTTTGGCACCTGCCGCTGTTGCTTTCCCTTCTGCCCATTCCGCTGCCGTTTGGAGTGCCGTTGGAGCTGCTGCTGCCGTTTGGAGTGCCGTTGGAGCTGCTGCCGCTGTTTGGAGCTG